AAAAAGTAACTTCGATTTTAATAGTAAAAATTGACATGTTTCACAAAAATTTTACATAGCTATGACAGTAGACATGTTGATCGCGTGAAATCCTGTCTGACTGTTACACGTACTTCACAAAATGAAGCATTCAATAGAATTAAACTTGTTTATACATCAAAACTAATTGATTACCCTGTATCATATCAAACAAGACACACACTTGCAATTCTACATAATAATGAAATGGTAAGTATATAGTTCACCAAGCTTGTATGGCACCCTTATCTCCACAAGATCTTTTTAATATAGCTAAGATTGAAGAAGGACGTGACAAACAACAGATAAGAAATTTAAATCAAATCACAAAACATAATGCTGAGAGAGCACTTGAATTGCAAAGTTTACGTGAAGACCTTAATTTTTTTGATTGGGACCAAGTAATTTATAAAGAAAGCATTTATATATTAATGTAATAGATATTATTAATTTTTTCCTTCCTCTGCCTGGCTTTTTTTAGGAATTAGTGTTTTATGGAAGAAAAGCTCAATTCCAACATCTTCCATCCTTCATTTGCCTCTCATATAACTGATTTTGATGAAACAACTAAATGTCTTGCATGTCATTCATTTCCAAAATGTACTGCCAGAGGTCTTTGTAAGTTATGCAGATTTTATGTTGATAATGGACTGAAGAGCCAAATTGTTGATAAAAATTATCAATCAAAAATTGAAGTCTTGGAGAAAATTGATTTAGAGACAATGTGTGAATCAGCACTTAATGGAATTTTTGGTTTTTCAGACTTTCGTGATGGACAAAAAGATGCAATCTTATCTTTTGCTCAAAATCATGATACTCTTGTTCTGAAACAAACAGGTGGTGGCAAAAGTCTGTGTTATGATTTAGCATCAGTTATGACAGCAGGAATTATTGTAGTTTTTTCTCCATTGAAGGCACTAATTGATGACCAAGTCCTTGAATTGATCAATGCAGGAGTACCTTGTTGTGGTCTTTATGCATCAACAGCACAACCAGTTCATTATCAACAAAAAGTCTTTCAAGAAATTTCATGTGGATTAACAAAGGTAATTTTTACAACACCTGAAAAATTCAAATTCAACATTGGATTTCAGAAAATGTTAGAAAGAGTTGGTGCCGACAATGGTATTAGGTTTGTTGTTGATGAAGCACATTGCATTTTAGATCAGGAACATTTTAGGTAATTTTTATAAATAAATACATCTTTTTCATATTGACTCATTTATTTATATTCTTGTTTATTTAGAGATTCATGGAGTTATTTGTGCAATCTTAAACAAATTTTTCCAGTAAAAATATTGATGCACAAGAAATTGTGGCACGTCTTGGTATAAACCATCAAAAAATATTAGTAATTTGTGATAAATATTTTGGAAATAATTCAATTATTTTCCAAGTACAAAAAAGAAGGGACAATAAAGAACAATTCTTGGAAGATATTCTGAGGGCTATTAATGAAGTTGAAGTTGGAAAATGCATTATTTATTGTGCATCTGTAAAAGGATGTGAGAATTTATTATCAGATCTCCAAGACAAGGTTGCAAAAGAAATAATTACCATGTATCATGGTGAATTATCTGCTAAAGAAAAGTCCAGTGTGCTATTGCTTTGGAAATTAGGTAGAATTAAAATCATTGTAGCAACTAATGCTTTTGGAATGGGAATAAATGTACCAGATGTTCGAGTAGTTATCCATGCATGCTTTCCAATATCTATGAGTAAATACATATTTGTTTATTTGCAATAAAAATTTATATTCTAAAGTTTTTTTTCAATTATAGGAAATTTGATGCAAGAGAGTGGTCGTTCAGCACGTGATGGATTACCAGCAAAAACAATAGTGATGTTCAATAGAAAAGATATTAGAACAGTTATGGGAATTTATTCAGGAAGACAGGAAAGGTAATGGGTTATTGATTTATTGATTATTTACCCATTCAAATTCTCATAAATTATAGCTCAACCTTTAGTGAAGAACCTGAAGACTTGAACCATATCAGATATTTAAATGAAGCAAAACATAAAATGAGAGAAGTATTATTTTATTGTTTAATGATTTATCAATGTCATAAACAAGCACTTGTCAATTATTTTGCTTGGCCAGGAGATCCTATGCCTGAGGTATGTATGGTTTGTGATAATTGTGTACGGAGAATGGCTGATAATCCAAGTTTTGTAAATGTTAAATCAAATATGCAAAAGATGTTAGAGGTTATAGATGCAATTAGTAAGGTAAAACAACAGGTAAGTAGGAATGATGTTGTAGATGTATTTAGACAATCACAGGCAAAGGATATAAAAAATCAGTTTGGTCATTTGCCAGTATATCAGGAAAAATTTCCAAGAATCTTAAAAACAAAAGAAGATGCCTTTTTACTATTGGATGATTTAGTTTTACGTAAATTAGTTGAAGAAGATATTGTATTGACTAGGTCATCAGCAGGTCAAACTTGTGTTTGTAGTGTTTCTATTCTTGGCCTTACTGAAGATGCATTTGCAAAAGCCAATAATCAAAATTGGATATATCTGATAAAATAATTCTTTTTTTTCAAAAAAAAATATATATATATAAACAAAACTTTTCAATATATATCAATAATTGCTTTTTTTAAAACCTTATTTCTGATGATTTATTCAAATTTAAAATATAAAGATTCTCATTTTATTTATTATCATTTTTGATTTGTCACACACAAAATGATCATCATTGATTAAAAAAAATTTTGCCATACATTTCTATATGATGTACTGTGTAACCGAACTCTACCCTTAATCAAAAAATTTTTTTAGCATTAATATATGAGAAGTGGTGATTGTCACCACCTAAGGAATTAAATTTGCGTGGGGCGGAGTTAGGGTTGGGGTTAATCATAAATTGTATAA